TGACTTTTCCAGCAACCCAATAAATAGCGTTTGTCTTCTGTATCACTATCCTTTCTTTTTTAAGAAGCTCAAGATTAGATCAGTGAATTTCCCAATATACTTCCTCCCCTGTCCTTGGTTTAGGCAATTAAGCCCCTGATTCCATCATTTGATATGCCCCAGGTTACGGGGTGTCCTTGAGCACATCATGCTGTGCCTTAGGTTAAGGGGTAGCAAACATGATGGAAACGACCACAAGAGCCTTTGATTTACGGGAGTGGATTTTCCTTTGTGGAACCGAAGCACATGCACGGAACAGCAGGATCTAGCAGATCCCAGTGACGTGCGCACATTTGGGCCCTTACAGCGGGAAGGAGGAGAAGGTATAAAGAAATCCAATTTACTCACCATCTCCTATGTGCCAGACACTACATTTATATATGCCAGATCCTTTCATTTTCACAAGCCTGCGAAGTGGGCATCATTTTGTTTGATCAATTCCAGGACAGATCTATTCCAGATTTTAACATTTCTGAAATGAGGATGCATCTTATAATCAATGTATATACAGAGGGTGCCCCCAAAACATGTATATGTGTTTTAAGAAAGGAAAAAGCTGTATTAAAATTGTAATACTCAATAGATACCGATAATGAAAGATGAATACAAGGCATGTGTATACACATTTTTGGGGGCACCCCCGTATATATTTTTGGCCTCAAAATTTGAGAAGACTGCCTCTTGCAACCAATGGCTTCTTCTAATCCAGGAAATTCAACATTGTTTCCATTTAGGCCAGCAGGGGCTTAGAAAAGGTAGGAACATGGACTTGAACCCAGGCCTGTCTGACTACAGAGCCACAGCCTTGAGCAGGCTAAAGGGCTGTGATCATCTGAGCCGGGCCCAGGGTTTATGCAAACCCTTTGCCTGTTTCCTACCCCTTGCAGGAAATGTGGTCTTTGGCGAGCCCATCACTGCCAGCCTTGGCACAGATGGAACCCATTACTGGAGCAAGAACTGGGCCAAAGCAGCGGCATTTGTGACATCCCCACCTCTGAGTCCTGACCCAACCACTCCTGATTATATCAACTCCTTGCTGTCCAGGTTGGTGTTGAATGACAAGCAGCAGG